GTATGGACTCCGAACATGGTACGTCCCTCTAGGTCTTCCCCCCAATATGGCCAAGTTGTGAAAGCAAGGTCCAATAACTCGTATACAATGTAGGATTATTGCTTTAGAGTGTGGCTTGCTGAAATGTAAAAGGAAGTCCTCGGCTTGTCGTTCAGTGAAAATGGTAGATGCTTGCTGAGCTTGCTTCTGAACTCCCAGTCGTGCTAACTGGAAACCCTCATTTACGAGTTCAGCAATAATGCTTCTTTCTTGATCCAGTGTATTGGTGTTGTTTTCGTAGACAAAAGCTTCTTGTCTGTCTGGGCTCATAAAACGATGAGCAAGATTAATTGGCTCCGTGACAGGTCTAGTCTCCTTCTCTCCTTTTATGAAACTATTTGATGTAGCATTTTCAACAGATTCTTTCTTAGAACTGAAAAGTTGAGTGAAAAGTCTAAATGGAGTGTTGGAAACTTTTTAACCAAAGGGACGTGGAAGGCTCTGAAATGTCTAAAATAATGTAAGGCGACGACTGTGGCCTGGCAATAGATGATTGAAGAAATGCACATTTGTAAGAGTTACTATGCAAACAAGATGGCCAAGTAACCACAAGTCTTGTAAGTTGAGTAAAATCTTTTATTTATGTAGGGCAGACTCAAATTGTTTTACTTCCAGTTAAAACCTTAGTGGGGCAAATTAATCGGCTTCATATAACTTTTGATTTGGACGATTGCACGAATGGATTAGATTTTGGCTGGCCAGATAATTTGATGATGTTACCTGAAAAACTGGTAGAAGCAGAGTGGAGTTGCTAGTGGATTCCAATAAATTGTAATCAACCTAACGTACTTATCACATCTTTATCAACATAAAATAAGGATTAAATTGTGATAAAAAGAATAGCCAGTTCGAAACAGTGCCCATAATTAACCCAACAGCTTAAGTAGGATGAAATCTATTTCTAGTCAGCTTAAAAGGCAGCTGATTCAATAAAAATTGATAGATCTCCATGGCATCCGGAGGCAATTCTTCCAGAAGAAAGAGTTACCTAACCGTTGTTCTCGAGGTTTGGGTAAAATATTGTCGTAATATCAATAAATGAGACCATATTTTGATAGTATACTATAAAGATTAATGCTTGCTGGATTTATAAAGGTATACTTTATATCTTTGATATTGTGGTTCGATACTCCAGCATAAAAAAGTAAACAATTTTTTGAGTCCCTTCCTCCAAAAATCCCGAAAAAAAGCAATTGTGTCAGAAAAATCAAAGCAAATAAATATTTCCTGTTTAGAAAGGATGCTACTACCACGGGACAAGTGAATCATTAATACGGGAGTCTTCGTGGTATGCAAATATTATTCCTTTTCAGGCCAGAAGTTGGGCGGTTAAACTAATTTCCCTTTGTTGGCCGTCTCATCAAGCATCTTTCCGCACAGTTGGAATTATGATTGTTGCCACAAAACATGTTACCGATTTCTAGACGGAAGCATAGGCATACAGTTCCTATCTCTTTTCAGCCTTATCCTCTTCATCCGACTCTGGGATGTGCCACGCTAACAATGGCGCATCTATTTTATGCTTTCTCTTCGAAAGAGTTCAGCAATCACGTCTCCCACAGTCCTGGCATTTGAAGGCGAATCATATTTTGGCTCATCAGACAGATCCGCCTCATCAGTAAGCAACATGCTTAAAAGTTAGCATCAACTTGAGCAATGCTCGTCGAACCAACTGGAGATATGACGGTCAGGCTTGTCTTGCCGTCCACCGACTTGTGCATAACGTATGCTCGTGAAAGACTTCTGAGGAGGCATATTGACTCGTAATGCAACATCCGAACGCAGGTTTGAGAACGTAGACGTTCTAGGACATTGACAGAATCGAATTGAAGCGAAATCGTCTTAACGAAATAAAACTTAAACCTCATCATCATTTCATTTTGAAGAAAATGGTCGCCGAAGACAGGCCGCATTTCAACGCTGCTCTTTATTCAGGAGCCGCATGAATCAGATGAAATCTAACGCTGACCAGCTGATGCGTATAGCTCTCCACAGCCTCATCTTCCTTCCATAACTTTGGATGAGGCGTTTGGCTTAATTGGATTAAACGGATAAGGCACTTCATGGGAGAGGATACCATTTAAGGTCTGCTGGACTCATAATTCTTGTCGGATGCCTTTTATTTATCCAAAATTGTCCTCCAATTTTAATTATCCTTCTCCTCAACAACGACATCTGTTCGCTATTGCTTGAGTAAAGCAGGTCTTTCACTTAATATGATTGCGAATTAAGACAACTGTTGCTATGCTTATATTCTTCAATGTTGCCATATGCAACTAAACTGGTTGGTTGTCACCAACCAAACGACTAGAAGGTGAGCAGTTCTGCCGAGGACAGGCCAACAGCCCATTTCGCTCGGAGCAGTCGGTGGGCATGCCCCGCCGGAAGGTGATCGAGATCCAGTCCTTCGTGAAGCCGCAACCGGACGCAGGTTGCAGGGACTCTTCGTGTGTGAAACTTCGTGTGCGAATATTCCCAGCCTCGGCTTTAGTCCATCTGTGGACATTGCTTCATTTTGTGTGCAAGCGGGTGAATGCGAATTTGTCATTTCCATTTTGCCTCACTTTGGTTCACATTCAGCTTGACTCACGCATGTCAGTTGATCATGCTTACTAATTTACACATACACACAGACATACACTTCCACTTGTACAGGCATAGCTACATAGTTGCAAATGCACACTCACACACCAGCATTTACGCAGCATACATGCATACAGGCACAGACACAGACACAAACACATACAGAAGCAAACACAATCACACAAACAATGTAGGCACAGTCAGCAGAAAGAGGTCCTGGATCCTTTCAGTTTTGATTGAACCACTTTGCAAGAAGACGCCGCAGCAACACACGCAAAAGGGCTGTACTGCATTTGAACATGTGCATGCGCGCTAGAAACCTGACCTGCTCGGGTCCAAGTACGAGACTGGCCGACCAGATCAGTATCGGTCAAGCACTCGCGGCTACGGTGCAGACACTTTGACTCGGCGTAAACGGACTCGTGAGTTTGCCGGATCTCCTTTTCTAATGCCAGACTCGTCAAACCATTCATTCAGCCTAAACTCTGTGAATTCGGTAGATTCGGAAGACTCGTTAAACGCCAAGGCAAGCTTATCGCTCGGCGTGCCTCCGCGGCAAATGCCAAGCCAGTGACATTTGTTGCTTCCAACCTGCAGTGACCGCCAATGAAGTCTTGTCTTGTGAACTACCAACTGCGACTTTTGAATTATCAATTGGAAACTTTCGCCCTCCAATCCAACCGTGCCTACCAATGCAGGCCTCGGTTGATTTTCCTGCTGTTCCAAGCATTCTTAACGAATAGTCCACTTAACAACCACAGAAATGGCCTCACAAATAAGTCAACTCGCCGATACAAGAGAACTCAGACGTACCCGACACTATAAACTGGAGCATGTGTAGTGATTACGGCCAGTTTTCTCCCTACTTCCTGTGGGTATGCGCAGAGTAGAACAGCAATATCATGCCAAATGTGAGAGATGAGCAGCATTGTTTCCAAATGGGACGCACAAGAATTGTCTTAGTTAAACTTGTCAGTGTGAAGATGTCACTTTCTATGAAAATATACGAACATATAGATATAGAAATTATCCATGTTTAATCTATATTCTCTATGAACCAGTGGGATTCTTCTTACTGGACATAAATCGGAGCACATTCACTAATTACATTTACTATTATTTTCTATTTATTATGGACTATATAGCCTTTAGTCCACATTTAATGAATCACAATGTCTCAAATAGTAAATGAATTTTGCATTCAGGATAGGTTCAGCAACAAATGTAACCTTTATACATGAAGATTATTTGGTGTCCTAATTCTTGAAAACCTTATGCCATAATAAGGAAGTTACTATATTTATTTGTAAATAGCCTTCCAAACTTCACACACAAATAAATTAAAAATAGTAATAAACTCTTTTATATTTATCATATGATATAAAACCAAAATGGATAAAAATTGCTTTTTTGAGAATATGATACAATTAAAATTACATCCCAATAAACTTGAATTAGTGATTTGAATAACAACTTAAGCAGAAAATTTAAATAACAAATGCAAAATGTATATCAATGTCTTTGCAACCGATGAAATAAATGCAATCATTGGGAGTGATTACCAGACATTCA